TTTCCCATTACCTCTTCCCAAGCTTAATCTGATACAACATGATTTCCATAGCATCTTGCAGTTTCTGAAGTTTTTAATGTGTGGGTTTTGGTCTGAGGGGTTTTTTTCCCTCATAGCATGACATCTTGGTCACTCTACATCGGCTTTTTGTTTGTGTTTTACTCTCATTAAACACAAGGATCTTCTTATGAAGTTACATAAACCTTGTGACTAAGTATTACTACGTAGATAAAGCTGTAAATACTTTGCTTTTTAAAACAACAGCAAAAGAAGGAAGAATGATAATATTGTGTGTCTTTTCCAGCACTGAGACCTTGGATGTGTTCGCCCATGAAGATGCAGTGTATGGCCTTTCAGTGAGCCCAGTAAATGACAACATCTTTGCCAGTTCATCAGATGATGGCCGGGTTCTTATTTGGGACATCCGAGAGTCTTCCCATGGAGGTGAGATCTGTAGATGGAAAAGATCATTGATTTAGGAAGAATTTGGGCAAGGCAGGGAAGGGAAACAGTTCGGTGCTACTGTCTTAAAGTACCAGCATATAGTGCAGGCTAGCATAGAACTTGGTATGAATAGGTTTTAACTTGAGTAAAGAAGCAGTAGAGGACATGTTTCTTCAATAAAAATATCTTGCTAAACTTGAAATCGACTAGGAATGTGGATTTTTTTTGTTTTTGTCTATAGTCTGGGATAAAAAATTTTTGGATGTTTAGAAAGCTGTTATTTTGATTTGAATAATTTTCCAAACCTGTTTATGTACTTCACTGTGACACTGAAAATTGTTCTTATGCATAATGTTTTCTCGTTACATGGAAACTTAGAGCCCTTACGTGATAACAGGGAAGTTGAATTATTACTTCAATCTTTGTTTTCTGAAACAGAACTAAATACTGTAATGAACCTGCAGCTTCTCAAAACACTGCAATCTGTGTTTTTACATCTGCAGTTTTAAGGCCGAAGAATCTCAGTTTGGAACTGTAGTTACATAAATGTGGAGAGGAATACTTCAGTAATTGAATTTCAGTATATGAATACTTAAATAATACTTCAGTAAATGAAGTTGTGAGTTTACCCCATCCTAAAGAACACAAAGCTAAGAATTTAAAACTGAGCAATCTGCAGGGGTACAGAATCTGGTTCCCCTCCTCCATAACTAAAATAAACTTTCATCTTTTTTTGTAAGCTGATTAAATGCAATTACCTCAACGCATAGTTTCTACTTATCTTACAGGAAAGTTGTTTATGGCACTGAAATCTAGTTTATGTATTTTGTGGCAATTTGTACACACTTGTTGTTGGGGCAAAGTTGCTGTTTAACTCAATTAGCTTTTTCCATACCTAGTGAATCTGATAACTTTCTAGACTGCAATTCTGTCCCTTTTTGACTAGGAAATAAAAGCTGAAACAAGACATACTTTATAGTCTCATAGGAGTCTTTTAGAGCCACTAGTATCATGAGGCCTTTATTGAACATGAGTAACCAGTATTAGGTCTTTCTTGATAAGCCCCACCAGAATACTTGGAGCTTATTGATGTCCTCCCTACCCCAGGCATATTGCCTTTGTATAAATAAAAATTAAATATACTAGCACTGCGTTCAGTTTTCAGTAGTCTGATTCTTACTGTGAATTCTGATTCTCTTGTGCAATTGTGATACCCCTTTCCCATCTGGTAATTTTATGAAAACATTCTGAAAAACAATGCACATACTCAGTATATCACAGACTTTAATAGAAATATCTATAATGTCTTTTCTTTGTCTTTGAGGAACTCATTAATAACCTCCCTCTTGCTCAGAAGTCCCTTACTAGCTCAGTGAACTGTTTTCTTCCCTTCAGCCAGTTTCTCACCCCATGCAACTCCCTTTGCTAATCCCAACTGCCTGTAGCTAAACTTGATACTATACCCCATGTGAATTTAGTCCTCATTAGATATACCACTTTTCCCCTGTAAGGTCAGTTACTTTATCAAAGAAAGAGATCAAATTAGTCTGATGTGACTAATTTACCTTTGATAAATCTAAGTGTCACTTCATCCTTATTTTTCTGTTTTCATAATATCCAAGTGATGAGACCAGACACTGAATATGGCTTCCAAATTAGAAATGGTAGAATGCTCCTTTACTGCCTTCTCCTGAACTCTACACCATAAAAATCTGTCTCTGTTAGGAGAACTACCTGTTGCTGACAGTGGGTGTCAACAGTCGGTGGGCCTGGATGCTTAAAAGCATCTGTATGAAGCTGCTCAGTATCGTAAGCTCATGTCCAATCTGATCTGAGTTTCTGAAATTGTATGAAATTAGGTTAGTCTTCCTTTGTTGTAGTTAAACCTTGCTATTGCTTTTACTGTTGCTGAGACTTTGAATGAGAAGAAGTGAAAATGGAACGAAGAAGTGTTGGCTGTGGTATATTTGAGGCTTTTTTTGAGTAGTGTCTTAGGTTTTCTGAATTTTAAATAGAGGGCTTTTGCGTGCTTCTATAGGAGTCCTGAGTCAGCATTTATATGTGAGCCCTGCCAATGTTTACTATAATATGATGCTTGTCACTGTGGTAATCCCCCTTGTCTGCACTGGTATTGTCATGGGAATAGGTGCTATGCCTGCCAGCGTTAAGTATAGTTAGTTACTCTGAGCGGCCAGCTCATTAAGATCTTGCAAATAACCTCCTAGTTTAAAATAGTGCATTAAAAGAAGCTGGAAAAGGAGTTTCATTTCCCTTCTGTTTCTCTCTGTCTTTTACTGCTGAGTGATTTATGCAGTAATTTTTTATAAACCCACTTTTAATTTTTGTTAGAGATGGTGTTGAGCTTCTCCCTTGAGAAACGTTTTTATACTCCAGTGTATAAGAGCTACAATTGTGAATGAGCATGAAGAACAGTAAAAAAGTAATCCCCCTACTTTTCATTAAAGTGACATTAGTTTAACTCCTGTAATCTCTCTTTAATTTGACAGGCTGAAAGGCAACTTTTGATATCTTAGAAGAAAACTGTGGTACCAGGCCAGGCTATTTATAATAAAGAGGTGAAGGAAAACACCAGTATTAGTGACAATGATTTGACTAAACAAACGTACACAAATTAAAAGTTTATTTTAAAAAAACAACTCCTTTATTTGGCAATCTGATGTTGTTTGTTTCTCTACTCAGCTAATGCATGCCATTGCTTCTCAGTGGGGGCTGCCATTTTAATAACACAGTCTTTTATGTCCCATCAGGGATCTGATTTGGTGATGCAAATGTAGAAGGTCAGTTTTGGTGTTAAACCTTATCTGGAGCTGCCAGCAGACCTACAGCAATCTCTAAAGTCTTGGGACAGACTGGCAGAACAAAAGTTTGCTCCTGTTCTTCTCTTTGCCTCTGCCTTATGACAATTAATAGCACCAGGGAGCTTCAGCATTGGTCAGAGACCTTTGTTTTGATCACTGTTAAATGAACACTAAAAAGGAAAGTCCCTGTGTCAAAAAGCTTGTAATAGAGCATAAGAGCAGGATACAGATGGGGTAGGACAAGTAAACGTTAATTCTGTCTCAATTGCTTGATGGGCAGTAGTTTCAGAAGGTATTGGGAATTTGGGAGGGTTATCTGTTTAACCATGTTTTGTGTGTCTTAATGAGGGATACGAGGGAAAAAAATGAAGTACCTTTGGAGGTGCTTGTGGGGCTAAGTGTGCCTGCACAGAGTGGCTCAAATAAGGGCAGTAAGAGAATCTCCCAAGCATGTGAGCAACACAGTGGTTGCATCAAAGCAAACAGTGAATGGAAAAGTCTGGCATAATCCCTGGCTCAAAATAGGCATTGACTCTTGTTTCTTAGTTGAGTGAGAGAGTGGCAGCATGCCACAAAAGATACACACAACAAAGAGAATTAGACTGTGCCTAAAGCCATAAAGCTAGCAGAAAGATACAGAGAAGAATGACAGAGTCAAGGCTTTTTCCCACTCTTCATGGAGGCAGCATTTTGACAGAACGGATAAGCCAGAGTAGCAGGCCAAACACGGTCTTGTTACACTAACCAAGATGAGAGGGAGAGTGTCTGGATGAGCATGTTTTTAACTCTGTGTGTGGACAGCAAAAGCCAACTGTTAACATTTTTATGCAAGAGGAACACCCTTGTCTACTTGTACAGCTACTTGTACAGCTGCTTGTACAGCACTTCAGAGGCGGCATGCCTCTTTTCCCCAGGGTTGGCAGCTTGCTTTGAGCTGAGTTCCATATAAACTTTTTTCCCTTTTTGTAGTATTATTCCCCCATATAAGCAATTGCTGCTACATTTACAGTTTGGGTGATCATCAATGGCTGTGGAAGCTTCCAGATATATATTGCTAGGCAACTTTTAGAAGCCCACCCATGTGTAGTCCTTGTTAGATGACCGTTTGGTCATGAACCTTAAGAAGATTCAAATACTTCATCTTTAAGTGGCTAGTTTTGAACTCTGATAACCTTCCATAAGCAAAATGGTGTCTTGAAATCCAGTATGTGTCCTTTTCCATATTTAGACAAAGTTAATGTACACGTGGGTGGATTTTAAAACCTCAGGTTTTATATTGCTTTGGATGTGTCAGCTTGCGAAATGGTTTGAACATGTCTCCATATCTTCAGATCTTGTTATGCTCTTTCCATATTAAACTGCCAAACTCATTGCATCGTACAGTTGTATGCATTGTTTGTTCTTATGTCTGAAATGTCAACTTTTTCAACAGAGCCCTTCTGCTTGGCACACTACCCATCAGCCTTTCACAGTGTGATGTTTAATCCAGTAGAACCCAGATTACTGGCTACTGCCAACTCTAAAGAAGGTGTGGGACTCTGGGATATTCGTAAACCTCAGAGGTAAGATCTGGCTGTCCTTGTCTTATGCTGTGCTATTTCCTTCCCTTGAGAGGTGATGGCATGCCACTCTTTTTTTTTTTTTTCTTTTAAAGTCAGAATATATGATGGTAAGAAAAGATGCAGAACAAAGTTAAAAGCAATGTTAGTAATGCTGAATTAAATTATTTTGCATAACTAACATTCTTCTTCATACGTATGATCTAATTTGATTTAAAATGATGCTATATTTTCAATGTTAAGGTAAGTGATTTTTTGGAAGCCTGCGTAGCCTCACCACTGCAGATTAACTTGGATTGTTGTGTCAAGTTCGCATCAATGTATTTAGCGCTGGCTTGCTAATACTGGAAGAAGCCGTGGTGTGCACTGCCTGGTTTACAGTTTGTTTTTTCTACACAGCTCAGTTTTGAGTGGCTGACTAGAGACTGTGGTCAAGGCAGCTTTTTACTCAATGCTTAAGAGTTTTATATGACTTCCTAGACACCTGGATAATCAGTTTGGCTGCATAACGTGCTTCCAGATTTGCATAGGATTTTAAACAAATGAAGAGAATAAGTTTGCAATATGAAGTGCGGTTAGACTGGGTTCTAAAGTGGACATATGCAATGTCTGATACCAGAGTTTCGCATGCATGAGAGATTAAGCTTCTGTTAAAGTCTTTTTCAATCTTCCAGATTTTGAAAGTAATTTCCCTTTTTTATCATAATAATCAGAAAAAAAATTTGAGCACCTCAAGTAAATGTTTCTCCCTCCCCCCCCTCCCTTTTATGTTTACATGTTTCCAGTTACAAGTGTCAGTGTAGAAAGGATAATTTCAAAAAAGTGAAAAGAGGGGAAAACAGGTGGTACTTGTTTTACAACGTAGCCTCAGCTATTTAAAATCTTCCATAGCGTACACTTGACTCTCCCCTTATTGGTGAATTTCTTGCAGTATCTAGAAGTGCATATCTCTCAAAATTCTTCTTGGGTTTGTACTCTACAGAGAGAAAAAGCAATCTCATATGAAGTTAATTATAACTGGCTTAAAAAAAATTCTAAAATGTTTAGACATCCATTACAATAGCAACCGAATTATGGTTTCAGGAGAGTTTATTATTCTCAAATTGTAAATATTAATGGTTTGAATTTATTTTTATTTTCAAGCTTGAATCAGGATTTGTATGCTGATGCTGGTGGCTCTAGAGCTTGCTGACATTTGTAAAGTTTGCCAGAGCCCTTGTTGGCAGCTGTTGTACAGTCTGCTATTAAATTTAGGTTTGATAAAATTTAACTGGAAGGGAGTTAGGAAGTTGCCTAAGCTATCTTCTCTTATTCTTGTCAAACTCTTTACATCCAGGTCTTAGTTTGATGTTAGAAAGTTTCTTACTAACTTCAGCATTTACTGGATAGAGGGAGAGAAATACAAGACATTAGGGTTATTTTGCTCTTACAAAACATGTTTCGTGGGTGTTTTGCCATAAAATTTCTGTCATTTTAACTTCAGTTCATGCCTGTTTTTTCTTTGTGAACTAATATGGACAAAGTTGGCTTCATCTTGCCAAGCCAGTTGGCCTTATATTGGTTTTGCAGGATTCTTTGTTTTTCAGCCTCTACCTCAATTGTGTGATTTACAAATTTCCACAGGTTGAGTTCGTCTTGTTTTCAAAAGGGAGTCACACCAAAACATTTCTCTCTTCAGACATTTATTCTCGGAGTGTAAATAGAAAAGGAATGATGTTGGTAGAGCGGTATAGCTTATGTCAATAGAAATTCTATATGGATGCAAAATTTAGATGAAGTCTCTCACTTGGGTAGCAAAGTGAAATGGGATCACCCCTGGAAAGGTTGTACAAGGCTAACAGGAATAGAGAGAATTAAGTATCACTAAGAATACAAGTATTGACGCTGATAAATGCAGAAGCAGATCACTTGAGTAGGGAATTCTCCTCTTACAAATTTTAACAGCTGCTTTCTAATAGCAGAAATAGTGCCTTTTTCTTATTTTTAGCTATTCTCATTAAGACTTTGATCTCCAGAAGTTTCTCAGCTTATATATAAAAGTGTTGATGAGCTGTTGCTTGGGGTGGTAGCAGCTGTCAGGTCATGGAAACTCAGAAGCTCTCCAGTCTAGATGCTATCCTGCCTTCTTCCTCAGTCTTAACCACAAGGCAAAGTGCTTGCTGTGAGCTTGTTGGGGGCTACTGTGTGTGTATGGGGTAATAGTCTGTGCTCACACGTTTAAGGACACGTTTTTAGCTGTATTGTGGCATTGTTCTTTGGGCCCCTCACTACCAGAAGGACATTGAGGTGCTAGAGCGTGTCCAGAGAAGGGCGACGAAGCTGGTTAAGGGTCTGGAGCACAAGTCTGATGAGGAGCGGCTGAGGGAACTGGGGCTGTTAGCCTGGAGAAGAGGAGGCTGAGGGAAGACTTCATCGCGCTCTACAACTACCTGAAAGGAGGTTGTAGTGAGGTGGGGGTTTGTCTCTTCTCCCAAGTTACAAGCGATAGGACGAGAGGAAATGGCCTCAAGTTGCGCCAGGGGAGGTTTAGACTGGACATTAGGAAAAACTTCTTTACTGAAAGAGTGGACAGGCCTTGGAACAGGCTGCCCAGGGAAGTGGTAGAGTCACCATCCCTGGAAGTATTTAAAAGATGTGTAGATGAGACGCTTAGGGACATGGTTTAGTGGGCATGGTGGTGTTGGGTTGACGATTGGACTTGATGATCTTAGAGGTCTTTTCCAACCTTAATGATTCTATGATTCTATGATTCTAATGCCAAATATAAAATAACTGTATCAGAATTTAATTGGTAATGCTTCTTGGCAAGTAATTTGTATTTCTCCAGGTTTAGCACCAGTGTGAAAGACTTAATAACCTTTGACAAATCTGAATTCTACAGTCTTTTTTTGAATGATGGAAGGGGAGGGGAAAGGGTGCCTTATGTTATAACCTCTGGGTTGTCTTGAAGGCCTCGCATAAATCAAATTGGTGGAAGCTTGTACGCTTACATCTAATGGATAAGAGCTGCCTTTTCTGGTCCTAATCTGATCAAACTAAATCTTTCCAATTAAAAAGCTAAATGGTGATGGTTAAACATCATATCTTGCAACTACAGTGCTAAAATTCCGACGTCAATAGGTCACACCACTTTTTCCATGCATAGGGGAACGTGTGCAACACACTTATTGTACAGCTGGACATACACAGCATATGCCATGCAGCTGTTCCCTTAAGCACTGAATTTAAAGCATTTGTACCTACTAGGTGTGGTGCGTTCTATAAAATGGGCACATGCTTCCTGCCTGCAGCCTGCTCCTCCTGGAGGACTCAGAAACAGGAAAGTGAATAGTAAGAGAGAGGCTGCTCCTTATAGAGTAAATGCTGTTGGCTGATATCTAGAGCCTCAGACTTGGGCTGAGCAAGCTGTAATTTAAATGAATGGAGGTGATAAATCTGCTTTCAGCTGCCATTTTTCTGGGACGGCCATCAGCTTTCCTCCTTTGCTTGATGAGAGATGCGCTCAAAACATGGTGAGAAGGATATGCTTGGCTGAGGGAAAGAAAATGGCCTAAAGCACTCTGCTGCCACTGCAGTTTGTTCCCAGGAAACTCTCAGGCAAGAGGAGTCTTCAGAGGGAGCTGTGTCCTGCTAGTGGGCTGCCAAATCTAGAGTCCCTCATGTTTAAATAAATTAGACTGGATTTTTAGTCTTTATTAAAGTAACAGAGCATTTGCCAAAACTCCCACTGGTCTCTGCAGATCTAGTTTGCTAATCTAGAAATACGGAACTTGATTTTTAATGTATTTAGGGCCAATTCACTTTGTCTTATGAGGAAACAATTTTATTAATTTGTAGATCAGTTGAGATATAATCCTCACTCCAGTGAGGAAGTGGAAGCCAGAATTTAGGTTTTCATCTGTGGGTTTTAGTTTGTTACAGTCTCTTCTGGGGAAAATACACTGTGAACTTAATTATCAGGAAAAAAAAAAAGTTTTTTGTTACGAAGTAATCCACATAATGCTCTAAGTACTTGTGGCAAACATTACATAGAACTGAAGTTGGTATGTGAGGGAGTTTGTGTATATTTTCCGTATTCTTATTAATAATAAAGGACACAAAGTGTAGTTTCAGGTAAGATGTGTGCCAAAAGCATTTTGGCTGATGAATTTTATAGGCAGAGTGGGTTAAACAGCCTTGAAGTTCTCCATAATCCAGTGATAAACAGGAAGCTGCCTGTGTAACTTGCGTGCCAGAACACTAGCACAGCAAAGAAGGGCTACTGCATCAGCTGCTTTTCTCATTGCTAATGGTGGAAATCCTTGCTTCCCTACAGGTTTGTAGCTCTCTTTTATACTGTCATCAGTATCCAAGAAAACGGAACACTGCCTGAGGTGTAGGAAGGATGAGGGAATAGAGGCTTTTGGGGGACACGATGTGGAAGTATTAACTTGCTGGGATTGTTGAATAGCACAATATATAACTATAGTATAAAATTGCTAGATCTGTCTATTCCTTCCCTAGCCTACCTTTTTATTTCCATTGCTGCGTCTGAAGTTCACTTGTGAGAGACTTTATTTTATGCCATAAGCTGTCAATGGAAATTCCTCCTTTCCTTCAGTATTGATGTAATCCTTCATAACACTGTGGCCATCGTGGGAGTTTTTCAGTCCTATTGTTCCACCTGTGGTGCTAGCAGAAATGACTACATCAGGTAAACTTTAGCTGTTTTGTCACGATGTGTGGTAGTGGGGTTTTGATTAGGGGTTGAATGGGTAGGAAGAAGGGGACAGATACTTTTGTAGATACTTTTAGATGTTTGCCGTGGATTGCCAAAATAGTAACTTCCAGTGGGTTAAGCAGGGTGCAGCACTCCTCCAATATGGGAAAAGTGAAATGGTTATATATAGTTAATAATTTGCTACTAGTATAACACTTCATGTAAAACTCATTTTCCCCAACTACCATCCTGTTTTCTGTCACTTCTCAGATGGAAGCAGAGTTAAACTGTTGCAGCCACTACT